TGGACCTTGTTCATGGCTTTCTGAATCTCGGTGACCATGCGGTTGATCTCGAGAAGCGCCCTGGGCACCATATCGCTAGCCGGCACTGGCTCGGACGTTAACGGCTCGAGACGCGACTCGACCACAGCGTCGGATGACGACGGGTCCGGTGGCGGCGGGAACCCCGGGTCCGTCAGGGGGGGCAAAGGGGGGCCGGGGGGACCCTCGGGGGGCGTGTCGAGCTGCTCCGCCACGTTCTTGTCGGACGGCGATGGCTTGGGCGCAAAGCCACGCCGACTGAGAAGCTGGGTCACCGACGCCTTGCGCGCCCTGAGTCCTTGTACGATGGATTTCCGAGGTTTCGCCTCCGCGCGTTTGTTGCGGTCCTGGATCGCTTGGAGCTTGTCGGCCATGCGTTTGGAGCGGTAAATGCCCTTGAAAGACAAGTCAAAGCGCCGGCGCATGAGCGACTTGTCGACGAGGTGGTTGAGCTCCGTCTCGACCTGAAGCTTGGCCGTCGGCGACTGAAAGTTCTATCTTGCGATTGAGATTGACATTGAGATCGGGCCGGATAAAAACCATGTTGGCGAGCTGGCGCGCGACGACCGACTTTTTCATTTTGACGCCAAACTCGGGGTACTCGGCCAAAATCTCGTTGAATGCCTACGCCGAGAACGCGTCGCGCCGCGAGGATCGATCCCCTGACGTACGTGCTTGCTAAGGACGTTGAGATCGCAGATCGAGTCGGCGACGACCGTATTCGTGCGACGGACTTCCGCGACGAGCGCCGTCTCGCCAAAGAAATCACCGTCTCGAAGGAGAATGCGGGGGCCGTCCTTGGTCGAGCGGAGCTTGTGCATGATCGGATGCAGCGCGCTCGTCTTGGCCCGCGGCGGCAGCACTTCGACGGTCCCCTTTCGGACGATAAACATTTCCCGGCCAATGTCATCTTGATGGATAATCACGTCTACACACAATTGTAGAAATAGTCTTCATATAAGCGGTTGATACCGGCGGGGAGGTACACAGCTGTGTCCAGCGCCATGCACACTTTGCCGAGGAAGCGCGCGTTCGAACCCGCAAAGATTGGCACCGTGTTGAGCAAGTCCTTGTACAAGTGCAGCGCAATCGTTGTGCGCAGCGGCTTGGACAAGCCCGGTTGGTTGAGCAGCGTCATGTCCGCGTACGCGCGTTGCTAGCGTTGATTTTGAGATAGATCGATCGATAGATGTACGTTGATCCAGAGGTAGTCGTAGTTGCGCTTGACGCGGTGCTAGATGCAGGAGAGTTGTCATTTGTTTTATAGACAAGTTGTCCATTGCACCTGGAGGTCTGCGGGCAGGTCGTAGTACTTCATTTCGGACGAGATGACGTCCATGCGGTTCCGGAACGTGGAACTCTGCTGGTCCCAGCTACGCGCATTCGTCAGTCGTCCGTCCCAAGCGTGTCTACCTCAGGAGCAGCGTCAGCGTGTGGCCGAAGAGGAGCGCGCAGTTGAAGACACCAAAGAGCGCAATGAAAGAGCTAGAACCACATCCTCGATCCCCCGAGTCCATAAAAAGGGTGTCTTCATGGACTCTCACCTGAGCGTATACATGTGTGGTCGATACGACTCGAGCGGCGACGCGAGCAACGACGACGTCTGGAACGAAGAGGCTTCGGCGATGCCAAGAAAGGTGAGGAGGACGCTGTGGAACGACTCGGCGTAGATACTCGAGGCCTGGTCCTTCGTCTCGCATCACAAATAAGACAGATCAAGACGCACCGTGTCCCAGTCACTGCAGACCGACACGTCGCCGTAGCAGTTGTTGAAGACGTTGACCCAGATGCAGCTAGACGCGCATACGATTAGATCTGAGACGCCAGATTCGACGGACGTGAAGATGTGGAGGCCGAGCGACATGGTGATGGCGGTGACGAGGAGGTGGTAGTACTTGGCGTACTGCCGCATGTACTTGAGGAGGACGCCAAAGCGCAGCAGCTTGGGAATTTTCTGGAGCTTGAGGATCTTGACCGACGTCTGCTGCTTGTTGCTCGACGGAATCACGTAGCTGAGTGGAAAGTTCGAGACGAAGTCCACAATGAACCACGTGCGGAGGTAGCGCCGCGCCACGACGCGGGCTTCCATGTGCAGCTCGCCGTTCGCGAAATACCCCGTTCGGAACGAGAGCACCATGTCTATTACACGTGAGCCTCAATCTCAATCTTCCTCACTCAATTGATATGATATACCGCAGACAAAGCACGCGTCCAAGAACGACTCGAACGATGCGACGTTCGGGCCCCACGCGACAAAGTCAAAGCCGAGCGACGCCGGCGTCTACGCTCACCCTCAATCTCAAAACACAACGCTCATACATGGATATACGCCATGTATGTACCATGATACAGACGTAGATGACGGCAGCGGCGATGCTCAAGTCCCACGCGCGCCGAAAGCTCGAGTTGGGGTGGACCATGAGCAGCTGCGGCAGCGCGCGCCGGTGGTAAATGTCGATGGTTTCCACGTCGGGGCGTGGCAGCGTGAGCGAGACAACGCGCTGCCAGAGCGCCTTGGCGCGAACGTTCTTGCTGGTATGATTCTCGTCGCCCGGTGGCACATGGCCGACGCTTGGACCTGGCGCCACCTTGCTGGCGCTCATATCAACTGCCTCGCCGTTACCAAATGAAACGGAGACCAGAAAGGACTAGCGTCCTGTTGACGACTCGATACTACGGTTGACCTTCTCTTGTTGGGTGTGTTGAGTTGCGGAACGTATGACTGATTCAGCTCGGTCCTCAACTCGACGCAGCTCAATTCGGCTGAAGTAGAACGAGATGCGAGGCCAACGGAGATGCGACTCGTACTCTTGACAACGTTGGTGATCAACTATTACATTAGCGCATCGCGGGAGAGAGAGGTGACACGTGAAGCGGCGGCAACTCGGTGGCATCCGGTTTGGAGGACGTACGCAGGCGCGCAAGGTCGGCGTGGAGCTGCTGCATCGTCGTCTGCAGTGCCGTCACGTAGGTCGGCAGCGCTGCAATGGACGCCTCGACGACCCGGAGACGCTGGGCGATCGTGTCCAGAGTCGGCTCTGGCTCGACTGTGTCCACCGGTTCGGTCGTGCGCCGTGTCGCCACGGGTGGTCTCTGTGCCAATTTGGTCGTGTCTAGGGTGATGGCGCGCGCACCGGAAGATGCAGCGTTGCGCATTCGCAGCGCGCTGCTTCGTCTTCGTTGGTTGGGGCGAGTGACGGGGATCGATGTTGTCGAGTCTGTCGTCCTGTGCTGGAGGCGCTCGGCGATGCGCTTGAGCTTGTTGCCTGTCTTGCTGGCTTGGCAGTAGTGCCAGTACGGCGACGAGGCATCGCTCGCTCGTTTTGCGAGCGACTGGTCGACGACCGCGTTCAGTTCGCGCTCGATCGCGGCCTTGTCCGCGTCGTTGGTGATGTGCTAGGCACGTTCCAGTGGCGAACTCCTGTCCTCCATGTGGTCGATTACCATGTTGTCCATCTGGCGCTGGATCACGATGCGCTTCATTTCTGGAAATCTGGAAATTCCGCGATAATCTCGTCAAACGCCTAGATGCCAGATCCTCGCACGAATCACAAGTCGTGTCGTCGCACCTGCTTGTTGAGGACGTTGAGGTCCGTGACGGTCACCGACTGCACGGACGTCGTGCGACGGACTTCAACGACGAGCGCCGTCTCCCCAAAGAAGGCGCCATCCTTGAGCAAAATACGTGGCGCCGTCTCCGGCCGATTCGCAATCACAACCTCGACGACACCGCGCCGCACGATAAACATCTCCTTCCCGAGGTCGTCGACTTGGATGACGAGATCGCCAGGGAGGTACACGGCCGTCTCGAGCACGAGGCAGATCTACGCCATCCTCGCTCGCCCTGTTGTACAAGAAAAGCAGTGCGGTACGCGGCCCAGCAGCTTGGCGTTCTCGCCGGCAAAGAACGGCACCGTCTCGAGGAGGTCCTTGTACAGAAAGAGGGCGATCGACGTCCGAAGGCTCTTGGAGATGCCCCGTTGGTTGAGCAGCGTCATCTCCGAGTACGCGCGTTGCTAGTACGTGAGATGGACCGTGTGCCTTTGTATACACGAAATCAATCGGACGTACGTTGATCCAGAGGTAGTCGTAATTTCGCTTCACGCGGCGCTAGAACGACAATATATATGGATGCATGTACGTGAGACACGAAGTCTACTTGGAGCTCGAGCGGGATCTCGTAGTGCTTCATTTCGGCACTGATAATGTCCATGCGGTTCCGAAACAGTGCGCTCTGCTGGTCCCAACTACGCAAAACATGCTTGTGAGAGGTCAACCCAGCTAAGAGATATAGGCGACCTAATGAAGATCGAGATGATGTTGGCCAAGAAGATGGCAATGCTCACGAGCCCGAGGACGACGATGCAGATCCTAACGCCATCGTTCAAGATGGAAAAGGATGCAACTAATGGTGCACGAGAGGAGGTAGACGGTCGGGGACGCGCGCGCGACCGGGCTCGCGAGGTTGCCGATGCTCGCGTACGTTGAGTACTCGCCAAGCGACGTGTAGAGCATGAGGACGTTGAGGAGCGACTCGAGGTACATGGGCTCCATCTACCACACGATGAGCCAAGGCCAAGGAGTCGTCTCGGCGTCTACCTGGCTGTCGTCGCAGTACGTTCGGTTCGTCGATGCGTCAAAGACGTTTTCGATGCACTGGTCAAAGAGACTCGCCCACAAGCACCTATGTGTTGGCATCGCTCGATGCTCCTCCTCCTGGTTCGTTCGGGCGTATGTACGTGAGGACGTGGAGGCTCATGACGATGGCGGCGACGACCAATACAAAGTTGTAGTACTTGGCGTACTGCCGCATGTACTTGAGGAGGCGGGCGAAGCGCAGCATCTTGGGAATCTTCTGGAGCTTCAAAAACTTGACCGACGACTGGTTCGCGTGCGAGTAGAAGAGGTAGAACGGAAAGTTGGAGATGCAGTCGACGAGGAGCCACGACTCGGCGTAGTGCCACATGACGAGGCGCTGGTTCATGACGATCTCGCCCGAGACAAGGTACCCCGTCCGAAAGGTGAGCACCATATCTAAAGCACGATCATCAACGCGCCGATGCAGTTGAAGATGATGCAAGTACCTGTGACGAAGAAGACGTCGAAGAACGTTCCCAAGGCCGAGAGTCGACTCCAGTCCATGGATTGAAACCCGAGCTCCATGGGCGTCTATAGGCGAGGCTCAGTCGACGACGCAATAGGAACTGAGTCGGACGAGGAGGCAGACGCAAACGACAGAGCACGCGGCGCAGACGTCCCAGACGCGCCGGAAGCCCGAGTTGGGGTGAAGCATGTACGGCGACGCACCCGTGTTGGGCGAGTGGAAGATCTCGATCTCGTCCTTACCGAGGACGCTTTTCGCTAGCATCAATGGGGTGGCGGTGGCAAGATGACGTCGTGGATGTACCTGCACGCGCCATCTGCTCGTTGGGCTCGATGCGGAGTCCGGTCCACGCACGCTCGGTGAAGCTGCGCACGAGCTTACTTGGCCGCCGAGGCGAGCATGGAGCCTCGGCGGGCACGACGGAGGACTTGGTCGTCGTCGTTGCCATCCCGCGAAGCGTTGCGACAAAACGACCGAATCCACACTAAGCTAAAAAGACGCAAGATCGTAGCCGCGTCGCTTGGCAGCGCGTCGCGTCCATAGTTCTGCGCTGTCCCCGGTGGCCATCGTGAAGCTGTCGTCGGCAAATCGTTTTACCAGCGCGATCATCAGGCCTGGTTGAGGTTGCACTTGGGCGGGTTGCGTGCGTTTAGCCAGAAAGGCCAGTCCCATCAAAATCGCGTTCGCATGGGCGCCGAGCAGCTGATTGACGCGTGCCAAGCACGCCTGGCGCACCCACCGACGCGGACGCACGATGCGCTGGAGCTCTACGCTTCGCAGCTCGAGCAGCAGCTCCACGATCTTCTCGCGGCGCGAGACGCGGAGGAAGCCATTTGTCGAGCCAGCACCGAGTGCACGTTTGCCAAGAACACGGCCGGGCGCGTCCTCACCGCGCTCTTCGACCACGCGACGGGCGGAAAAGTGGACGGCCTCAAGGCATGGTGGGAGACCGGTAGCATCCAGACGCGCAGCGGGCCCGCGCACTGGCGTCTCGACCCGAAGAGCCTCCGGGACAAGCGCGGGTACTTGCAACATTCCTTCTCGCAGCGAGTCTCATGGGCGTAGGTTCACCCTCCTCCACGCAACTGTCGACCGCAGCTTGGCGAAGGAAAACGCCAAAGTCGCAACGGTTGGCTTCCTCGTCGATACCATCGGCGTGGACGTGAACGCGGTCGACCTCGTAAACAAATCACCGTCCCGCCTTTCGTTGACGCTGCTGGTAGTTTGGCCGGACGAGCCTCCACTACGCCGCCCTTGCAGGCTACGCCGACGTTGTCGACGCGCTCTTGCAGCGGCAGTGCAACCCACAGCTTCGCGACAAGGCCGGCTTGACAGCACTCGGTATGCTTCAGCTGACGACGCTGTCGGCCAACTTCGACGTGATCGTGCAAAGGCTTCTTCTGCACGCCGAGAAGCCGCGCTTTGGCGACGAGCCCACGACCGACGTAGACAGGTTCCATGCAAGAAAGGGTTGCCATCTGTAAGCGTAGGACGCCTTGGCCTCGGCCATTGCCGCACTCGACCGCGTCCTACCGTTCGTCGCCGACCGCGCGGCGTTGGCCGAGCGCTTGGACGTGTGGCGGCAGTCGCTCGACCTGCCGCTCGTGCGCTGGCACGACGTGATGGTCTCGCTCCTGTGCTTGGACGAGGATGGCATGTTTCTGCCGTCGGCCTACCGCTCGCCGGCCTTTCTCATGACGTGGCGCAACCAGGTGCATCTGTTTGGTGGCGCGTCGACGGCGTGGGCAACGTACTGCAGGAGCATGGTCGACCGCTGCAAGGTGCGACTCGAGCCCTAGCGATTGCGGTGCACGATACCGGTCTAGGCGGCGACGCAAGCTGCGCCCGCGCCCGAGAGAGAGACGTGGCACTACGCGGCGCTACTGACCGCGGCCGCCGCCAAGCTCGAGCCGATCGCGGTGGAGAAAGGCTCGGTGGTTGCTACGGTGCGTGTCCCAGGAGCGCGGTACCTCGCCTACAAGCGGCTCTTGCTCGGCGCTATGGTCTATGCTGTCGTCGACGCCGACGCGACGTCGCTCACCCTCGGTGCAAGCTCGTGTGCACACCAACCTCGCGTAATATCAAAGTAGATCGCCCGTTTGAAGGACCGTCGACCGAGCGCTGCCCTGTGTACGCCGCCGCCGAGGACGACCTGCCGCCTTACGTCCAAGTCCTCACGCTGCACGAGCGGCCCCCTGGGAACCCCTTTGAAACCGACTCGGTGGAGGAGGTAGCCATCCCCGCATGGCCTATACGTCCTAGCCCTCGGCTTAGGACTTGGTTCAGATGCATCAGCGCATGGCACCCGACTCGAGCTACGAGCTGCGCCTCCGCGTCGGCCCCACGGCGTCGCGCGCGCAGGCCAAAGCGCTCGTGGCCGAGTGGCGTCGCGTCTCCCGCCAGCACTTTACCGATCGAACGTACGTGTCATCGTAGAAGAAGTAGAGGATGACGATGGCCAACAGGTGTGCATCCACTGCCAAAGTCTGCGCGGTCGCGTGTCCTCAAGTGCAGGGCGAGCGCCTCGTGCGACCTTCTTCGTGCGTCTCGTCGCTTCTCTCACATCGTTGCGTGGCTAGTGTTTTGAGAGCCTCGCGGCCGTCGGGCGCGACTTGGCCCAAGCCACGTTTGGCCGCGCAACGTTCGCCAAGGCGATGCCTGTCCGCGCGAGTCTTGCATGATGAACATGGGCCTTGAGACGACGATGATAATGCATTATTCATGGTTCCGGCCGCGGATGCGGCGCGCGAGCTGGATGTCTTTGACCATGATGGTTACGCGCTTGGCATGGATGGCACAGAGGTTCCTAAGAGGATGCATGAGCACATGGGAAGACGAGTGCATCCGGCGCGTACGCATCTTCAAAGACGCGGACGAGGTGGGCCTCGGCGGCCTCCTGCAGCGCAAGCAGCGCCTCGGCCTGCCACCGGAACTGCACGGTCGCGTAGTTGAGCTGGATCTCGCGCACGAGCCGGGCAAAGGGCAGGCGCCGCAGCAGCAGCTCCGTCGAGCGCTGGTACCTGCGGATCTCCAGCAGCGACCGGACGCCGGGCTTGTAGCGGCGCTTCTTTCCGGCGGCCGTCGGGTCGACCGGCGGCTTCCGCTTGGTCGTCGACGGCTTGCGCGGGCGCGGGACGGGCGACGACATGCTGCTCCGTTGGTCAAGTTGACAGGCGGGGGCTTTCTTCCTATTCGACCAGCTGATCGCCGAGAATCCACCAATCGCAGGCGCGCATAATCAAGATCGCGCCCGCTGATTCGCTTCATTTCCGGCAATAATCCGATTCAAACCTCCAGAACAACATATTTCCCTGGCTTGTTTCGGCGCGAAACGCCCAAGTATCGATTCAAAGAGGTATATAGAGCGCGTTGATTGGCTGTAAAGAGACAAACCTTTGGCCAATGGCCATAGCGCATTGGTGAGCCAATTCGGCCATAGCGCATTGGTGAGCCAATTCGGCCAACTGCAAGCAACGAGGCCAAGGCAGCGCGTGAGCTACGGTATTAGCATCTACCCTCTCCTTGGACAGGCGGCGCGTCTCATATTTATATATCTGAAGGCATATTTACTGTAGGTGGTCGCCAGCTCTGCGAGACCTTGGGAAGCGCTGGCTTGTCTTGGCGCCAAGACACATTAGCCCCACTTCTTCCACTGCATGCCTTCGGGCACGGGCTTTTCCTCTTCATAGTCCTTTGCCTTGACTTCCTTCCAGTTGGTCGAGAGCACAGTCCCGCCCGACGTTTGCTAGCATTCGCAGATAAGAACGTAGAGGCTCCCAGACGACGTACAAAGGACTTGTTCATGGCCCGGCGCGTGTCCTCGTCGGCCTTGGCGTAAATGTCGGCAAAAAGCTTCTGCATGGCCGCCTCACCCTCGGGCTTCTCCGCTTCGAGCTCTTCGGCAATCGTCTTGTCAATCTTGTTCCAGTCGCGCTTGCTCGCG